CCAGGCGGCCCAAGAGGAAGGGCAAGCCCAACCAGCAAGTGGTTGGACCGGAGTGGACATAGTAGCCTATATATCCAGTGTGCGTGTGTGGCTAGGTTATCGATTGATCCGTGTCTAGACCTGGCCGCCGTTGGGCGTGTATCCCCTTCCCACCTCCGGCTCTCCTTCCCAATCCCCTTCTTGCTTGGCGACCCTGACCATCTTGTATCCAGAATCGGTGAGATTGAGAAGTAATCCAGCATCTAAGGCCTAGGACCGTATCATCCCGATGACGTGATCTCAAGTTCTCAACGATGAAAGAATGAGGTCGATCCCCAGGAGCGGCATCTGCTATCTTTGACGATTGTTATCACTTTTTTAACTTAGCATGTGATTTTGTGCAAGCAACATTCAAACATTGCCATAGGGAAGTGAATACTTTCGCTCATGAACTTGCTCGGATGCCTAGATTTTCTATTACCTGTGAATGGATAGAAGAGCCACCTATGGTGGGTTGATTCCTCTACTGAGTTATCTGACGTAACCTTGATCACAGCTTAAAAAAGAGGGATTATGCTTTCAAAAAAAGGCCAAGAACTTTTACTTGCAAGTGCAAATCAGACAAGCATGAATTGACAAGCAGGCAAATCAGAAAGTTCTACAACTTTGGACGACTCAGTTTCTCTCACATACTCAACCAATTCTCAAAGTCGCCACAAGTTACATGAAGGCTACGAGTAACGGAGTAAGGATTGTTGTTGTTATGCCAGGTTGAACTATATCAGTATATTTATATCCAAGTAACCAGTATAATCAGTTTTAAGCTCCATTTCTATGAGCATGAACAGGCAGTGAGGTTCCTGCAAACCAAGACAATATACTTCTTGATAATTGAGAGCTAGCTGGTTGACCCATCATCATAATCCCTAATCTGTCGCAAAACTGAACCCTGTAAAAAGATGACAAGAGCACGGTAAGTTCTGATAATATAACCAGAAAGTAAGCCTATACAAACTTGCTACCATTGACCTTGCTTTGGGAAAACTGGAATTGTTCGGATTATTATAAAGGAGTTTAACCAAAATACTAATATCACATCCTACCAATTTTCCCTACATCACAGCCATCAAAAGAGCACCTCAAGCGGAATCTTAGTATACAAATCTTGCCTCTAGTGAAGATGTGCTGATTTCCTCCAGTAATAAGGATTGAGAAGAGAGAAGTGGCACATGATACGATCGTCTGAGTGAACAAACCAATAATGAGTTGAAGTCGAACTACAAATCTGGAACAACCCATTAGTTAGTAACTTCAAGCAGAACTAAAGCTGTGTACCGGAAGCACCAACATGAAGAACTGCAGAACTTTTATTTTCTCGATGAAGATCAAATTGCACTAGGTTCTCTCCTGATACCAGTCAGCAGAGTATTAGATATTTAAAACAAAATACTATTTTTGGAATTTCCTGATGACATTTGCAGTTGGCAACAACAACAAAGCCTTTTATTCCCATTCGCAAAAAAAGCCTTTTGTTCCCAAACAAGTTGGGTTAGGCTAGAGTTGAAACCCATAAGATCTTGAAACCTAGTGATGGTTTTGGGCTTTTGGCACGTGCATAGCTAACTTCCATCTTCCATGACCCCTGTCCATGCACCCCGGCCTACATCGCCACCTTCAATGGCTCCACGGGCTGCAACGCTTGGAAGCTCACATGGAAGAACTGGGCACCCCCGCGCGTCCGTTATTCCACTGGCTCGCCCGCCTGGACCGATGTTGGACGGCCGACCGCCTCGCCCGCCGCGGCCTGCAACACCCCGCGCGATGCCCCCTCTGCGACCAGACCCCCGAGACCATGCACCACCTCATCCTAGCTTGCCCCTTTGCCCGGCAGATCTGGTGCGAGGTGCTGCACTGGCTCCGGCCCCCCTGCGCCCCGCCTGACAGCGAGACCTCTCTCAACGACTGGTGGCACACGGCGCGGCAGCACACCCCCAAACCCATGCGCAAGGGCCTCGCCTCCGTGACCACCTCGTCCCATGGATGATCTGGAAGCATCGTAACGATTGCGTCTTCGATAGAGGATGGCCCTCGGCGACCGACCTGCTCACGAAGATCAAGGACGAGGCCGCCCTCTGGGCCAGAGCCGGCGCCCTAGGGCTACGAGCCATTGTACCGCAAACTTGGGACGTTCACTGATGTGCCTTTGGGCACTGTAATTCCCTCCTTGGAGGACTGTAACTAAAACCCTCTTTCTTTCCAAGCAATGAAATGCAAGCTCTCTTGCGTTTTCTCAAAAAAAAGTACCAAGTTGAGAAAAGGTGGAAGATCAAGTGAGCACCAAGATAAGCAGTGGTGGAGCTACCCAAAAAATGTTGGGCGGGCCGGATAGTGCAAGCAGTGCTACCAAATTAAAAATCAATGCATTACTGTGGGATAAACTTCATGTAAAATTTGTTTTTGCTCCATCACTGGGCGGGTCATGGCCCTTTGAGCCTTGCCATAGCTCCGCCGGTGAAGATAAGGACCGGTGAATTTCATAGATGTGTAACTATGTAGGAGAAGAAAACAGAAAATCCAAATGATTGACTATCGGAGCACCAGCTATATAGGCACCACCATGCACCGGAATGCATATTACATTTTAGAGATATTTGTAATAGCTTCTGAGCGCTATCAGTTCCTGATTGATATAAGGATCAAGTACTTCAACTCAAACATCATATCAACATGAAAATATTGTTAAGCTTTATCTTCTAACATACTGTGAACTCAAAAAAGAATAAAATACAATACCTTTATGCATCTACAATGTCACACTCGTTTTGCTAGGCAGCAAGGTAGAAATAGAATCACTTCTTTATTTTGAATTTTGATGTGAACTATTTCAAGGCAACAGCCAAATAGTAGATATAATTTGCAGATTCAAGAGAGCTGTTACACACACAATTTAACATCTATTATCCAAATTACGAACAGAACCTATGACATAAATAATTTCAGGTATGTTGCTGCCAAACATAAAATCATACTAGGTTTCATTTCTGAGAATAAATCAGATTAAATTCGTACTGTTTACCCCTACGTAACCCAGTTCTTTCTCAACCAATCAGATATCCTAATTCTAGCTATAACAATATAAACATAAATTTTGCTTGTTTAAGAAAAAGATAAATTTTGCAAGAGCACAACATATGAGCTGTTACGAAACGAATTAAATTTTCCATTTTAAGAAACAATGCTAAAAGAGTAGAACCATCCCAATAGTGATAAACTGCCGACGGCCTTCACATGTGTGAAATAATTTAATACATAATATGATCTTGTGCATAAATGATGATTCGTTTTGATACATCTCTAGTACTGTTTTGGATAATAGTTGCTACAAATGAATGCATAATTACCATTTTCTTAACCAATGCTAAAATGTCAAAACATTACTCCTAGTTATTGACTTCTTGAGTCATTGCTTTGTGACTAATATAAACAGATACAATGTTATAAAAATAAGCATGCCAAAATATCCATATTTAACTTACATGGAATGGAATATTAGTGTTTGTTCTTCTGGATACTGAAGTTATCAAGAGTCAGCATCTTTGAACAAATGTGAACCACTTTCATCAACCTTTGTGCATCTGAATTCAACAGTTTTAAGGCGTAGAGATTGAAGGTGACTTTCTCCCATATTCATCATAGGCTTTTGATCCTACAGCCGACAAAACTATATAGGTCAATCAATTGTGCATCATAAGTTTGGTAACACATCGACTACGAGATTAAAAGACGCATACCTCGTGCAGTAGAATAATGAGCTTCTCTAAAACTGGTGTGTGTTGAAGAAAGCAAAGTAGTGCACAAAAGTCACGACCAACAACCCACTCATTGACTAGCAAGGTCTTTAACTTGTTGAATATAGGGCAGCATGCCAAGTCTAGCTTGAAAATATGCTGCATAAATAAAGAACAAGTAACCGTCTAATTCATATCCAAGATACAGGTGGGGAGCCTTTTCTCCCCATGAAAGTTTCAAAAAAAAAAAAATCCAAGATAAAGTGAATACATTGCAGAATTTATAGCAAAACCAAGAGATAACACACAACAATATGGTCCAGCTTTCAAATTCAAAACGAGCTTCGACTCAAACTGCTTTCAAATTTTCAAAACAGCCTGGAGTCCCTAAACCATAGTGCGTGATAATACACCCGCACCAAAACCAACTTTCAGGGATGTGTTTACTGAAATGGTAGTATAACTTTGAGAACAGAACGGGAGGCAACAACTAGCAAACACAAGAAGCTTGTTTCTACATAAATGGTATGAATAAAGTAAGGGAACACACAAATGCTGCACAATAGTGAATGCCCTAAAAAGCTAGGGATTAAGTTCGAAATGTGAACATACCACTCCATCTGCAGCTTCCAACTCCAAATGCGTAGCATTGATCAAACCGCTAAGGAGCACACACTTTCCACTGCCATCAGGATTATCAGAAGTGCTATCTCCATGGTAGCCAAACCATCGATGATCTAGCAGGAGGGGGCTAATTTTGACATATGCTGTTACTAGTAATGGCATGCTTTCAAGCAGAGGAGCCCGCCAGCACTGAACACTCAGGCGCAGCGAAACAAGACCCGGGGTAGAAATCCGTGTGCGGAAATCCGATGCAATGCTACATTCAGCGACACAGAGGTGCTTGAGCGAGTGCGATGACATCCTCTGAGCAGAAATTATGCATAAGCTCACCTTTAGATCCTCCAACACAGGACAGCTCGAGAAATCCAAGGCATCGTCGTCCAGCTCTACACACTGAAGCTGCAGGGTCGTCAAGTACCGGGAGATCAGAGGCACCGCGACGAGCCGCAGCGGTTCGGTTGTTGGGCTGACAAGGACCCTGAGCATCTGAACGTCGCACACGACAGCGTGCCCAATCCACTCCTCGACGTACCGGACCGGCTCCTTGGTGTGGACAAAGGGAAAGGGTCGAGCATGTTGCGCCGGAAACGTGCAGAGCTCGACCTCGCGCAGGCTCCAGGCGGGGCGCAAGAGCAGCATGAAGTTGACGACCTGTTGAACTTGGCGGCGCTGCTCCAGCTGCCGGCGTCGGTGATGCGCAGGTTGGTCACGGACTTCCAGAGCACGCGCCAGCGGCGCGAGAGCACGCACGAACGCACGGCCTCGTGGGCGGGGAGGAGCGACAGCACCTGCTCGAGGATCGCGTCCGGGAGTGCGCTGATGTGGTCCTCCGCGTCCGCTTCCTTTTGCTTCCTGTCGGTGCGCGTCTCAGGCATCCCGTCGAACAGGTGGTGGGCACCGGCGCCACGGCAGCGGAGAAAGAGGAGACGATTCGCCGAAGCGGCGATGAACACAGAGGGAAACGGCAAGCTGTCGAAGCTTGGGTTCACGTCGCCGGCCAGAGTCTTCGCTCCCCGGGCGCCGCCGCTCACCTGCATCCTACTCAATCCCAAGTCGGAAGAGCGCACGGTCGACAAGTCGTTCCGTTGCTTTGGAAAGTCCAGGGTAACTCCAACGCACGACTCCGTATGGTCCGTACTCTCTAAAAAAATCCTCCATATGGTCCGGCCGCGTTTTTTTTTCTTTTCTCGAATACGCTAAGGTATTAAGGTAGCGTATCATTGCATTGATAGGAGTGATAGAACCAGTACAGGGGTGGGTTATAGTCGTGTACACACGAATGACGAGACTAGGACCCGAGTAGAGCAGAAGACATGGGGATGCTCAGCTACAAAACAGCAAATTCAGTTTACAAGATTGCACGTGGTCATCCCTCGGGCTCCTGCCGCGGTCCAAGAGCGAGCTTCGTCTTTGATGGCTATAGTGAGTGCAGCAGAGGAAGGGGCTACTTTATTAAAGATGACCGCGTTTTGGTGCCTCCAAAGCGACCAGGCCGTGAGGGCTGCAATGGTGGCGTTAGTTTGAGGTAAACGAACAAAGCAAGCCCTGCAACGCGCGGGAGCAAACAGACCGTTGTTCGTTTTCTGTCCGCTTTCGACTCATTTCCGGTCTAAGTTTGAGCCGAGTTTACGGCCGAACGGACAGCGCGCGGACGAACGGGACGCGCACCCTTGTCCTCCCCTGGCCCGCTGTCGGTGGCACAGGCGGTCACTTTCCCTCATGTTCCTCCAAAATGCTCATGTGCCCCCATCTTTCACCCTCACGCGCCCCGCCCTTTGCCCCTCCCTCCATCCACCATGGCTAACAAGGTGAATCCCGTCAACCCACCTGCTGCCGCCCGCCCCGCGGCGAAGAAAACGAAGCCTCGGTCGGAGCTCACGCCAGCTGAGCTCGCCAAGCTTGACGCCAAACCGGCCAAGAGGTGGAACCGGCGAACTGCTGTGGTGGAGAAGAAGGTCGCCGCCGAGTGTGTCATGCGTTGTGCGACGCAGCACCAGGCCGACGTCAACGGCAAGGAGTCCATCATCGCCAAGGCGCACGCTGTCGGTGTCAAAACCGGCGGATCTCGGGTAGGGGGGCCCGAACTATGCGTCTAAGGCTAATGGTAACAGGAGGCAGGGGACACGATGTTTACCCAGGTTCGGGCCCTCTCGACGGAGGTAATACCCTACTTCCTGCTTGATTGATCTTGATGATATGAGTATTACAAGAGTTGATCTACCACGAGATCGTAGAGGCTAAACCCTAGAAGCTAGCCTATGATTATGATTGTTGTTGTCCTACGGACTAAACCCTCCGGTTTATATAGACACGGAGGGGGCTAGGGTTACACAGAGTCGGTTATAGAGAAGAAGATCTACATATCCGAATTGCCAAGCTTGCCTTCCATGCAAAGGAGAGTCCCATCCGGACACGGGACGAAGTCTTCAATCTTGTATCTTCATAGTCCAACAGTCCGGTCAAAGTATATAGTCCGGCTGTCCGAGGACCCCTTAATCCCGGATTCCCTCAGTAGCCCCTGAACCAGGCTTCAATGACGATGAGTCCGGCGCGCAGATTGTCTTCGGTATTGCAAGGCGGGTTCCTTCTCCGAATACTCCATAGAAGATTTTGAACACAAGGATCGTGTCTGGCTCTGCAAAACAAATTCCACATACCACCGTAGAGAGCACAATATTCCACAAATCTAATCTGTTGACATCTTTTCATAGCGTGGCATCACACCACGGCCCGGTCATTATTCGAACCGTTTTCCACAACCTGCCACCGCACATATCGCGAGGTGGTTTTATCGGCACGTCTTGTCGAAGCAGAGATCGTGTCCCCTTATCGTGGGATTCTCATCAATACGGGTGTGGGTAACCCAACCGTGCCATCAATCGTGGCGCTTGGGGAATAAGCGAATTTACCGGGCAAGTGGGGAGGCGCAGGATCTCTGCTGCCTTTATAAGGGGATAAGAACTCCCTTTTTCACCCACGCCTTCTTCTTCCTCTGCTCATCCATTCCTTTTCGCTCGAGCCCTAGTGCCCAAGCGTTCGTCTTCTCCACCCAAAAAGGCTTCCCGAAAATGTCCGGATCCGGAGCAGGAGGCAAGTGGATGGCCTCTACCGTCCGGGAGAAGGATATCAAAAAACTTCGGGGGGGGGTGAAGGAAATATGCCCTAGAGGCAATAATAAAGTTATTATTTATTTCCTCATATCATGATAAATGTTTATTATTCATGCTAGAATTGTATTAACCGGAAACATGATACACGTGTGAATACATAGACAAACATAAAGTCACTAGTATGCCTCTACTTGACTATCTCATTAATCAAAGATGGTTATGTTTCCTAACCATAGACATGTGTTGTCATTTGATTAATGGGATCACATCATTAGGAGAATGATGTGATTGACATGACCCATTCCGTTAGCCTAGCACTTGATCGTTTAGTATGTTGCTATTGCTTTCTTCATGACTTATACAAAGTTCCTGCAACTATGAGATTGTGCAACTCACGTTTACCGGAAGAACACTTTGTGTGCTACCAAACATCACAACGTAACTGGGTAATTATAAAGGTGCTCTACAGGTGTTTCCGAAGGTACATGTTGGGTTGGCATAATTCGAGGTTAGGTTTTGTCACTCCGATTGTCGGACCCTCTCGGTAATACTCATCACCTAAGCCTTGCAAGCATTGTAACTAATGAGTTAGTTATAAGATGATGTGTTACATAACGAGTAAAGAGACTTGCCGGTAACAAGATTGAATTAGGTATTGGATACCGACGATCAAATCTCGGGCAAGTAACATACCGATGACAAAGGGAACAACGTATGTTGTTATGCGGTTTGACCGATAAAGATCTTCGTAGAATATGTAGGAACCAATATGGGCATCCAGGTTCCGCTATTGGTTATTGACCGAGAATAGTTCTAGGTCATGTCTACATAGTTCTCGAACCCGTAGGGTCCACACGCTTAACGTTACGATGACAGTTTTATTATGAGTTTACAAGTTTTGATGTACCGAAGTTTGTTCGGAGTCCCGGATGTGATCACGGACATGACGAGGAGTCTCGAAATGGTCGAGACATAAAGATTGATATATTGGACGACTATATTCGGACACCGGAAGTGTTCCGGGTGATTTCGGAGAAAACCGGAGTGCCGGAGGGTTACTGGACCCCCCCCGGAGAGTTAATGGGCCACATGGGCCTTGGTGGGAAGAGAGAGGGGCGGCCAGGAAGGGCCGCGGGCCCCCTCTCCCTCTGGTCCGAATTGGACTAGGAGGGGGGGCGGCGCCCCCCTCTTTCCTTCCCCTCCTCTCCCCCTTCCTTCCCCTCCTAGTAGGAGTAGGAAAGGAGGAGTCCTACTCCTACTAGGAGGAGGACTCCTCCTCCTGGCGCGCCCAACAAGGGCCGGCCGGCCTCCCCCCTCCCTCCTTTATATACGGGGGCAGGAGGCACCCCATAGACACACAAGTTGATCTACGGATCGTTCCTTAGCCGTGTGCGGTGCCCCCTTCCACCATATTCCACCTCGGTCATATCGTCGCGGAGTTTAGGCGAAGCCCTGTGTCACGACCGGTTTTCCAATAAAAATATTTATTGAGAAACCAATCTTTTGAGTCCAGTATGAGAGAAATTCTCCTCACTGGTAGACAACTTCTTGATACAATAAGCCAGTAGCATAAAATATATTACAGGGTTGAACTACGGTTGCTCAACCAAATTATTACAAGCACGCCAATAATTATACATAATGGCGGACATGACACAGTGGTGTGGAGACATACTACTGACTCGAGGATAGGGCGGTGGTGGAAAAACACAGCGGGGAGAGAAATACAAGACTCTAAGTCTATCATCTCATCGAGCGTCGAGGTGAGACTCGATGAATTTATTTGGTAGCGGAAGCGGATATAAAACAGTGACCAAATCCAGGGTCGCACGAGACTGACTGGGACTCCTCTAGGTGTCGGACTCGCTATCAAACTCTTCATCCATGAGATCGCCTTCGTCAGCATCTGGCCAAATCAACAAGCCAGTGAGTACTTTGAAAGTACTCGCAAGACAGTTCGGACGTAAGATATAACAAATGCATGCATGGATGCGTCATGATTAATTCACCAAATGTACATTCAAATTATCATAACAAGGTAAGTAAAAGGGA